TATAAAAACACAAATATCTTAAACAGTCTTTAGCATTAGCTACTTCTAGATTGTCTTAATCTTTAAAGGGTTAACTTTAACTCCTTCTAGGTAAACTATGTACCTTAGGTACTTAGTCTTCTGTGTGTAAAATTTACACTTACTAAGTTTTAAAAAAAGCTTTACTTTACGCAATCTTTATAGCACTTCTTTAACATAAACAACTTGTTCCTCTTCTGTGTTAGAATAGACTAGAATATTGTTAAGGTACATAATACACGTCACATTAACTAACCCTGCTAGGGCCTAGTTAATATAAGCCTAGAAAGCTATAAGAGCATTAGTAAGACTAAAAGGCACAACCTAGTACTTAAAATAACTATATTAAGTCTAGAATGCTGTCTTCTACTTATCTCCCTTGTAAATATGTAACATATAGTACGCATTATAGATATCTAGCTTTATATACTACTTTGCCTTTTTAAGTCTCTTAAGAGATTTTAAGATAAGTAGTAGCAGGTAATAATTTTTTATTATAATCTAGTTTAGGCCTTTATAATTTACATAGAGCTTTAACTCTTTATTCTTTTTCTTTATAAATAAGATTAGAGCTTTTATAGAAGACTTAGACCTCTAAATCTACCTTTTTTATAAATAATTATTAATATATTTGCAGAGATGCTGTAACTTATACTCTAACAAGTTATATAGTAGTTAGTAAGAAAGCTTTGTCCCTTCCTCTAGCTTAATAGCTAGATTCTGTAGGCTATGCAGTAGTACTTCTAACATCTTATTAGACTTAACTACGTTTGCATATTTTTTATACTCTAGTCTTAACTTAAGCTTTATAGGTCTTAAAGAATCTTTAGTGTTATTAGACAGCACGCTGCAGACGTAGACATCTGTATTAGGACTCTACATAGTTTGCTTAAACTCTACTGCGTCTTCTAAGGCCACCTTAGCGTACTTTAGCACACTATAGTCCTTTACGCCCTTAAATAACATATGTTTTGTATAAAAGTTTAGCTTTAGATTAAACTAATTAATCTAAGGTAAACCTAAATATATTAGGGGTCCCTTTAGGTCTGTTACTATAAACAGCACCTTATAAGTCTAGACTCTTCCTTAGAAGTCTATAATCTTTACATTTATAACTGTAAAGCTGTAGACAGTAAAGTCTAATCTATTAGGTGCCTTTAGAAAGACACCTAGTAGGGGCTTAATCTTAAGATCCTGCTCCTTAGCTATTATAGTAGACAGGATGTTTAATTTAGCTTCTTTGTCTACTATAGCCTAAAGGTCTTTTAATAACTTTATACTTACTATTACTAATAATAAAGTTAACCTCTTTAGGTATAACAAGTTTTAAAGGTTTCTAAGCTCCTTTTTATTACTTACTAAAGTAATATAGGCTAAAAAAAAAGAAGCTTAGTTTTTCTAGCTTTGCCTTTTTCTTTTCTACTTATTCTTATTAGACTTGTCTTTGTCTTTGTCCTTTATAGGACAATCTAGGGAAATATAACCTAGCTGCTTATAATTCTAGTAAGTAACCTCTATCTTATTAGATTTTTACTTTTTTTTAGCCCTTTTTTAGCTTAGAGGCTTTCTTTGTTCTTTTTTAGGCTTCTTTAAGTCCTTATTAGCTAGAGGTAAGGTAGAACGCTTTTGTGTTCTTTTCTTTTTTAACTTTAGCCCTTTTCCCTTCTGCAGGCGGCAGTAGGATATGTTGCTTTGCTCTTCTACCTAAGCTAGCGTCTCTTGCTTACTTTGTAGGATATACGTTAGATTACGCTTAATCTTGTTAGATAGCGCGCTACTAAAGTCTACTATTATTCTTTCTAGGCTCTTCTTATTAACTTTAGTCTATAATAGCTTAAGGTAGGCTAAAAGTTTAGTTAAGGACTAGTTAAGTTGTTATTTGTAGTTCTTTATAGCATTATAAGCTACCCTTTTTTGTTCTGCTAGGGTACTTAATACATTAAGCATCTTATTTTTAAGATCTTGCTATGTTAGTAACTATAATAGGTTAATAAGCTTTAAATAAGTGCAGTGTGTCTCTTATAGTAATTATAGTGTCTTATTAATGTATTATAGGCTAAAAGAGATCTTCTGCAATTCCTAAGTAAAGCTTAATAGACTCTTTTAGTAATAGTCCTTATTATTCCTACACTACTAGTTGTAGTCCGCCCTGTTTTTTTTTTTGTATTAGTGCGGCAGTTTAGGACGCGGTAGGTTTACTTAGTTTTAAGTAGGTTTTAGTATAATAACGTTTAATGCCTTAGTTAGCAACTTGTTAAGCGCGTTTATATTGCCTGCCTTAAATTAATAACAGATTTCTATTATCCTAGCTAGTTCTTGCGCTTCCTGCTGCTCTTGCAGCTAGGCGCAGGCTTCTGTTAAAGCCTGATTCGCGGGGGTGGACTGTGCGTCGCTTAGTCCCGCACTGGCCCTTCCGACCCCTTCTGGGCCCTAAACGCCTTCTGGATGGCTTAATAAGCCTAATCTATAGGGATTTCTATTGTCCCTTTTACTTATCTCTTACTCTGTTCCTCCCTGCGTTAGTGTTAACTCTAGTTAAGTATTACTAGGAGCAGCAGTTTTAGCTAGCTTCTTAGGTAATCTTTAAGCGCTAGTTGCATCTAATTCTCCCCTAGCGTTTTGCTTTGACACTATTACGTAGGAATGTTGCCCTTGAGCGGTATGCTGGCTTGTAGAGCGATTTAAATGTAAAGATGGGATAGTAAATAGCACAGATAGCACTAAGAGCAAGCTTTTAGAGAAAGATAGGAGTGTATTGTAAGAGAGACAAATTGCTGCTAAGCTTCGCTTGTCAGGATTCATGCTTATATACGAAGCACAGGTCATACGACCTCCAAACAGGTCAGGTGAGGCCATACTGGCCCGTTCTGGGACATCCGGCCTTACAAGAAGTGCAACTAGGTGCTTTAGGTCAAGCCTGGTAGACCTTTAGAGGCTAGATAAAGCAGATGGCCCATAATTAAACAGCCTGCTTAAATATAAGCAACCTAAGATTGCGACTTTACATTTTTACTATTTAGTTAAGGTCTGCTTTTAAAGGTCCTAAGGTAGTTAATACCCGCAGGCATTAGAGGGCATCCATAGATGTACCGTTCCCGCACCGGGCTATCTCCGCGCGCTGAGCGTTTGAAGATACCATGCAAAGCCCGCATGGGCCCTAGTGTATGGTTACAGCAATCAGATGCCGAACTGGGCGGTGTTCCGCCAGTTCTTTCTCTGTACGTGAAATGCTTGAGGGGAGTTGCTATTCGCTGGGAGCATTGCCATGCTGGTAGTCAGGTGCGAGCGTGGGTGACAGCTCCCCAAGCTGTACGCGTGTTTCCCCACCTCTCTGGCATACCATATTAGGCAGAGAGCTATCGCATGGATAGCAGGACGCTAGGCGTACTTAGCTCGTACGGCACGTGCTTGGTAAGCGCATGGAGCTAGACAGCCTTACAGTGGCAAGCCTAAATTTAACATTAAGAGCTCTTCTAGCTAGAGGTTAATTGTTAAAGGAGCTAAAGGAGATAGATAACAACACAAACGTTATAGGTAGGACAGGATGCTAACTATGTAGGCTAGCGACATAACAGGTAGACACAGCAACCTGGTGTCGCGGCTCTGCACTGCTACCACAAGGTGGCCAGACCTCGCAGCGACAGTGCTAGATACGTGTAATTAAGGGACGTTAGGCTTAACTTCTAGCGCGACTATGCAAAGCAGGGATTAAGCGCTTTACATCCTTACAAATAAGGTGTTAAGCTTATTGTGAGGGCGTACATTGCCACAGCTATAAGCTCCTGGGCTGGTGAGCATTGCTATAGGGGCTGTACGGCACAGGAGGTTGCACAAGCTGGCGGGCTTAGCAAGAACTGCAAGGCATTGCTTTGCTAGAATACACAAAGGCATATGCGATGGCACTAGGCAGTAATGCTGTACATGCAACTAGACTTAATTAGGCGTGGCCTGTCTAATGTTGTCTAAATCTCTGTGCAGTGGAGCTGCAGCTTAGTGTAATTGCAAGCTGCAGCTTAAAGCAACTACAATCTAGTAGGGCCTGTAGGCTATCTAGTAACAGCCTGTACGCTGTCTAGTACTGGTGCGACTAAGTTGACTTTAATAGGAGATCTCCCTAAGGAGGAACCTCTATGTCCCACCCTTCCTTCTTACCTGCCTTCGCCAAGGTAGGTAGTAGCTTATAGGATAGGGCTAATAGTAGGGATAGTCTACTTATCCCCCTTCTTCTTAGGGCGCGTCTTAAGCCTTTAGAAAGAGGTAGCTAAGGTTAGTTTAAAAAAATTTAGTTGCTAAACCTTGCATAGTTTGCTAGCAAACTAGATGTAGCCTAAAGCTATCTAGGAGGCCTGAAGGCGATCTAGATACGGCCCGGAGGCAAACCAGGTGCGGTCCAAAGCCATCTAGGTATAGGCCGACAGCCATTCGGATACGGCCCGAAGACCATCTGGCAGTAATGCAACTTCGCAAAGCCAGCAGGCAATTGCAGGCCTATAGGCCATCTGGATACGGCCTGGAGGCAAACCAGGTGTAGCCCAAAGCCATCCAGGAGGCCCGGAGGCGATCCGGATACGGCCCGGAGGCTTCCCAGGTACTGCCCAAAGCCACCCAGAGCTCAATAGCAGTTGCATTACAAAGCTGTCTGTGCTGCACTTCTCGCTAAAACAGGAGGTGCTTTGCGCTAAAACAGGAGATGTTTCGCGCTAAAACAGAAGGTGTTTCGCGCTAAAACACAAGGTTCTTAGCGCTAGTGCAGCTGACAACAATCCTGCATTCAACCACCACGACGACGACGACGACCACCACCACCACCACCACCACCACCACCACCACTGTATCCGCTCGAGAGCTTGAACGCTCAATCGGTGCGCGTACGCAAAGTAGCCGGTGAGGGCTCGGATCAATGACGGGGCATGGGCGGCTCGGTGGATGGGCGGCTCGCAAGCTGACGATCAAGGATGAGGAGTACCTGCATCTCCTGTTAGTTGCGATACCTAGGCTTGTTTAACTTAGCTTGTTTTGTAGCAAGCGTTGTTGCCATTAAAATTGATGGGGTCAAGCCTCCTCTAGCTGCGCTGCGCGGACTGCTCATCCCAAGGGGATATGTGAAGGTTTACAATGTGAGAGGTATCGAGCAGGAAACACAGGTCACAGAGAGGGAATGCAGGATAGGGGGGGTAACGAGAGTAAACCTTAGGGTTGGAGGCAGAGGTA